CCCTGTCCATCAACAACTCCTGTAGCATACTCAAACTCATGCCCATTGAGCCGGTGATGCCATCCAACTATCTCATCCACTGTCACCCCCTTCTCTTCCCACCTTCAATCCCTCCCAGCATCAGGGTCTTTTCCAATGAGTCAGCTCTGCGCATCAAGTGGCCAAAGTACTGGAGTTTCAGCTTCAGCATCAGCCCTTCCAATGAATATCCAGGACTAATTTCCTTTAGGATGGATTGGTTTCATCTCCTTGCAGTCCAAGGGACTCTCAAGAGTCTTCTCCAACACCACAGTTCAAAAGCATCAATTCTTCGGCACTCAGCTTTCTTTATAGTCCAACTCTCACATCCATACATGACTACCGCAAAAACCACAGCTTTGACTAGATGGACCTTTGTTGGCAAAGTAATATCTCTGCTTTTTAAAAAGCTGTCTAGGTTCGTCATAACTTTTCTTCCAAGGAGCAAGTGTCTTTTAATTTCATGGCTGCAGTCACCATCTGCAGTGATTTTAGAGCCCCCCAAAATAAAGTCTATCACTGTTTCTACTGTTCCCCATCTATTTGCCATGAAGTAAAAGGACCAGATGCCATGATCTTAGTTTTCTGGAAGCTGAGTTTTAAGTCAACTTTTTCACTCTCCTCTTTCACTTTCATCAAGAGGCTCTTTACTTATTCTTTGCTTTCTGCCATAAGGGTGGTGTCATCTGCCTATCTGAGGTTATTGATATTTCTCCCAGCAATCTTGATTTCAGCTTGTGCTTCACCCAGTCCAGCATTTCTGATGATGTACTCTGCATATAAGTTAAATAAGCAGGGTGACAATATACAGCCTTCACGTATTCCTTTTCCCATTTGGAACCAGTCTGTTGTTCCACATCCGGTTCTAACTGTTGCTTCTTGACCTGCATACAGATTTCTTAGGAGGCAGGTCAGGTGGTCTGGTATTCCCCTCTCTTGAAGAATTTTCCAGTTTGCTGTGATCCACATAGTCAAAGGCTTTGGCATAGTCAATAAAGCAGAAGTAGATGTTTTTCTGGAACTCTCACTAGTCAATACCTATGTAATTTTGCAGAATTAAACTACCCTGTGCAAAAGTATTTTTTGGCCTCTAGACCATTATCAATCAATACACCTATATTTTCTAACTGAAACACACTCCCCATTCCCCCACCCAGCTACCGCAACCCAATGGCTCAGTCGGTAAAGAATCTGCCTGCAGTGTAGGAGACCCAGGTTCAGTCCTCCGGTCAGGAAGATCCCCCGGAGAAGGAAACAGCAGCCCATTCCTGTATTCTTGCCTGAAAAATCCCACAGAGGAACCTGGCAGGCTCCAGTCCAAAGGGTCACAAAGTCAGACACAACTGAGCGACTGAGCACACAGTCAGAGAATTTGGTAAAACCTATCCTAGGATTTTTAAAAAACAAGCTACGTACTTCATGAAGTTTGATTCCCGCCACAGCTGAATGTTTTATTTAAAACTTCAGGGCAAATGATCCATTGTGGAAAACTCTTTGCGATTCAAAAGAGAAGTTATTATTCTAACCACTAACTCTCCACTTATCAGTCATCCTGCTATTGTTGCTGCTGTTCAGTGGCTCAGCTCAGTTGTGTCTCTTTTCGACCCCATGGACTGCAGCACACCAGGCTTCCCTGTCCTTCACCATCTCCAGGAGTTTGCTCAAACTCATGTCCACTGAGTTGGTGATGCCATCTACCACCTCATCCTGCCATAAACGTTACAGTAATGCCAAGGAAATGTGTTTTAACTGCATTCTCATATTCATTAGAATTCAGGATTAGAAGCTGAATCAAGAAAGCAGAAGGAAGAAATAGGAAGGAACAGTACTTGCTGTTTTACATGTTCCACAACACACACAACCAAAGGTTTTTTTTCCCTTCAATGTCAGAAATAAGACAAAAATCTCTTTGTATTTTAATTGCAAACATAAATAGGGTAAGACGGAAAAGTTCCTGAAAATAATATAGAGCTATAGTCAATTGATTATAAGAGGTACATTTTCACATTTCTGAAATCAGGATGTGATGGCCAGGTGGAAGTTATAATAGTTGTCTCTGCCTTAAACAGTACTAGAGCTTTCCCGAGAGCCTCACCGATGTTTCTGACAGCACACAGGACGAACTGCGGAAAAGCACAGGTGCAACTCTGAACTGAAAAGTATTCAAAAGAGTAGGGATAGTAAGGTTAATGAACATTTTAATCAGTTTGTTTCGCTTTTCTTCTTTTTACAAATGTACTAGATTATAACTTTAAAATATCTAAATAAGTTTAAACATGTAAAAAAGCGTATTTAATAGCTTAATTGGGCTTCCCAGGTGGTATAGTTGGTAAAGAATCTGCCTGCCAACGCAGGAGACTCAGGAATTGGAGGTTCAATCCCTGGGTGGGGAAGATCCCCTGGAGGAGGAAAAGGCTACCCACTCCAGTATTCTTGCCTGGGAAATCCCATGGACTGAGAAGCCAGGCAGGTTACAGTCCTTGGGGTCAGTGAGACATGACTGTATGACTTAGCATGCACACAGCAGCAGCTTAATTGCCAGAGTTTTCTCTTCCTTTGGTGGTACATAAAATAATCGATGATATCAAGGGATTCAATATGGCAGTAATTCGGCTGCTACCTCTCATAAGAAAGCTTGATAAACTAGCTTACAAACTGACAGCTTAGATAAGAACACATAATAAAACAAAGGCCTCTTCCACCAGAAAACACACAATAACACATAATTTTTCATTATTATAATAAAAGGACTATTTTTCTTCATGTGAAAAGTAAAACCATCCTCTAGTTTCCTGCTTATGTAGCAGGTTTCTGCACTGAATCCAATGAATACAGAGGGAGAGTCAGGGTGCTAAAAGTAGAAAATTTTAACTCAATTCTTTTAACCAAACGCCTTTTCTAAGGACCTTGGCTATTGAGACCAGGCATCAAGAAACCTCAGTTCAACTAAATGTTCTTAAAAGCTACAGGATGGAATTTTTTAAATCACATTTTCAAAGAGCTTGTTAGTTCCAGGAATCTACATTCAACGACTTTCTTTTTTGGTCCTGTGGTAAAATATACTTAACATAAAATTTACCATTGTAACCATTTAAAGTTTACAATTAGTGGCATTAAGTACATTTATGCAGTTGTGCAGCCATCACCATTATCTGTTTGCAGAACTTTTTCATCACCCCAAACTAAAACCCTGTATCCATTAAATAATAATTTTCCATCCTCTCCTCCCCCTCGAGGTTGAGCAGGGCCCTGTGGGGCTCCAGGACACTGATGTCTTTTTGTCCCCCATTTCTCATAGGCAAGACTCCAGCCTCCACAACTTAGTTCTCTTAGTTCCAAAGGGCAGAACAGTTGCCAATCAAGGGAGAAGCAGCCAAGAAATCACCTGAGGTAAGATTAAAGGGACCAGAGAGGCTCATTAAGATTAGGAGAATGGACCTAAGACCCTGCTTGCAAGCGCGTGCTCAGTGACCCCGCAGAATACAGCCTACTAGGCTCCTCTGTCCATGGGATTTTCCAGGCAAGAATACTCAAGAGGGTTGCTATTTATACCCCAGGGGAATCTTCCCAACCCAGGGACTGAACCCAAGTCTCTTGAGTCTCCTGCATTGGCAGGTGGATTCTTTACCACTGTGCCATCTGGGAAGCCCACCTAAGACCCTGCACAAACCCTAATCTTGTCAGCAACCCCACCCTTTTGAAACTTTGCAGAAGAACGCCAGACTGTTACTGCCTTAATCCTATCACACATCCCAGTCTGGCTATCTAACCTCTCCCTATTCACCTGGGAGTGGCACACAGCTATTGAGGTCCAGCTGTGTTCCCCATTTGCCTGGCAAAGCAGTAAAGCCACTCTTTCCTTCTCTTTCATGACTCTCTGTATTTCTGTTGGGCACTGGTGCACAGAGAGCCAAGATCTTGCCAACACCCTCAGCCCCTGGCAAAACTATACTCCACCTTCTGTCTCCATGAATTTGCCTATTCTAAATACTTCATATAAGTGGACTCATTCAATATTTGTTCTTTTGGGTCCAGCTTACTTCTCCAGCGAATACTTTTGTAGAGCAAAGAATGAACCCCAAGTAACTAGGCTTCTCACAATTTAACAGTCCATAGTGACACGATCTTCGAATTAAGCATACAGCTCTCCCAAAAATCCTGCTACTGCCCCACGAGCCCCAACGGGCAGAGGATTTCTGACAGACCCTTCCTCAGCTGGTAAACAGGACTGGTTAAGCGGTGGTAACTCAGAGAACAGGCTCCTTAGAACCCTGGGAGCCACATGAATGGAGCAAAGGGAAGTAGAGTCGGCAGTTCTGAAAAACCATGGCTAAGAAAAAGCAAGGATTCATCAGCTACTTTGGCCTGCAGATGGCCTTCTCTCTGTCCTCTAGGAGCTCCTACACCCTGACTGTTTGGGCGACACCTGTCAGAGCTGAGGTCAGACTGAAGTCCAGTCGCTGATCATGTCACCAGTGTAGGAAGCTGCACAGGGTCATGAGTCACCTTCCATGGCTCAGAGGTCCGGGCAGGCCTGCCCCACCCAGAGAAACCCAGTGAGGAGAGGCAGAAACAAGAGAGAAAGACACACGACTGGCAGAGAAGCACAGAATGAGTAAAGAGCTGGACCGACAGGCAGGCCGTGAATAAGAGTAAGGACTAAGAGGGAAACACGGGGTCAAGGAACACAGAAGGTGGAAACAGAAATGAAGACAGGATCCAGATACTCAGTGATGGGTTCGAGAGAAACACAAAGCTGACAGAGGCCGAGGTTATAGGCATAAAGGGCAGGTGACGACAGGTGACACAGACAGCAAAAGAGGAGAAACGCAGAGGTAAACAGAGACCAGCATCAGCGAAGTCCCAAGCAAAGTCCTTCTCTTCGACTCAATCGAGAGGTCGCCAAGCCGCGCCCACTCCGCGCCCCCGAAAGGCAGGAGGGGCGGTCTGACCGGGGGAAGGGGGGTGGCGGGATCTCTAAGCGCTCTGGCCCGCCGAGGTTCGTCACCGGAGGTTGACCTTGGACGAGACACTGCTTCGGGGGCCTTGGTGTCGCTGCACGAACTCCGGGCTGGCCAGAGACCGCAAGAGTCGGACCCGGGGCGCCGGGACTCCAACGGTCCCGCGAGCGGCTTCAGCATCCCGGTCGGCGTAATGGGCCTGGCGGTGTCAGCGGTGAGCGCGCCGAAACCTGCAGAGAACCCCTTAAACCTCTCCGGTTTCCATTCCTGCCCCCTTGCTACGCGTTGTCCTGACTCTGTCATACCTGCCAAGGGCTCGGTGCTCACATAGCCCGCCGGTGGGATACTTTCCGCCGCCGCCGGCGCCGGGCCCGCTCAAGCCGTTGCTGCCGCGACCGCCTCAGTCTGCGCCTCCCGCCCCCGGAAACGCTTCCCGGTTCCGCCCCCTAAAACTGCCAGTGCTTCCGGGGGTGCGGCTGAAAGAAAGCGATGTGCGCATGCGGGACTCGCGTTAGGGGCGGGGCGTCAGGCGCGTGCTCCGAGAGAACCCGCGGCTGCGCAGTACAGCCCGGAGCAGGTCAGTCTCCTGTAGGTACTCTAGGACCTCCGCTGACTTTTGCGGAGAGGTGTGCTAAACACTTTGGCCTATCTCAGCTTGTCTAATAGAGATTATGTCAAATCCTTTACTGGCTCCATAGCGCCTTTAGCTTGTAGCGGATGCTCGGTAAGAGTTCAGTGAAGGGACCAATGCCCTCTCAAGCATTGTGCCGGGTTCCCCTAGGAAAAGCCTCACCCCAATTGAATGACTCATAACTGGTCCAGACTATTCGTGATAAACGCATTCTTATTAGCCGGTAGTTGGACTAGGAATAGGAATGTGACCAATTTCTGGCCCGTAATACTTACAGAAGCCATCTCTTGGGGCTTCTGTAAAAGTTTTTGTTTATTCTGTTCTTGTTTTCAAAGTCCACCAAGACTTCTAGTTGAATATGCTCAAGTGTTTTGCAGCTTTTACTTTCTTCCTGTCTCTAAGCAGACATAAATGTTGAAAATTCAGTCACTGGCATGTGCCTGTGATATGACAAATGCTAAGGCCAACGAAGCAGAAAGATTGAGAGAGCCTAGTTCTCAGATGAGGTTAAGCTACAGTCCCAGGTTTGGACTGTGTATCCCTGGATGTTTGTTGTATGAGCTTTGCGACTAGTAAGTGGCACAACTTCAGTTAAGCCCTGCAGTCTGGCTCCAGACCCAAGCTCTCAGCTCTGTAGGACTGCTTTGGTCTTGGGCTTTCTTTGGCAATATTATAGACTGCTTAGTTGCTCAGGTGTGTCTGACTCTGTAACCCCATGGACTGTAGCCTGCCAGGCTCCTTGGTCCATGAAATTTTCCAGGCAGGAATACTGAAGTGGGTTGCCATTTCCTACTCCAGGTGATCTTCCTGACCAAGGGATCAAACCCAAGTCTCTTGCATCTCCTGCATTGGCAGGCAGATTCTTTACCACTGCACCACCTGGGAAGCCCGTTAATAGACTACATATCTCCAAGTATAACAGCAACAAAATAGATAAAATTGCTAGGAGAAATATTGAAAATATGAACTCACAATCAAAAAACAAAACCCGTAGGCAGAGAAGACAATCAGCAGTGTCAGATACACTTTAAGTGTCTAGCTCATTGGAAGGGTTAAACAACTAATGAGGTACAACTGAAGAGAAATTCCTGAGCTAAAAAATAGATTTGAAGAAAATAAGCCAAAAGCCATCCCAGAGAGATAAGGAAATGAAAAAGAGTGAGGTCTGCTGCTGCTGCTGCTATGCTGCATCAGTCATGTCCGACTCTCTTTTATGTTAGAAGATAATAAAGTGAATATGAACAAAGTAGTTGTCAAATATTGATGGCTGAGAATTTTCCAGAATTGAAGAAAGAGAAGCAGCCTCAGGAAACACCAGGAATCCCGAGTAGGGTTGGGGAAAAGAAAACCTAGATCTGGTGAAACTGCAGAACACCAAAGCATGAGATTAAAAGTAGATAGAGAAGAAAGTCAGATTATCTACCATAGAATGATAGTGATACCAACTCCTGGCTACTCAACAGCAATAATGGGAGCAATGATAATAATAATAGCATAAAATAATATGATTAATGGAATAATAGCCTTAACAAGATGAGAGAAAATAATCTTATACCTAGAATTGTATACTTAGCAAATAATCTTTCAAAATATGAAAACATAATACTTTTCAGATCAACAAAAACTAAGAGTTACTACCAACAGAACCTAACTGAAGCATCTCTTAGAAGATATATTTGAGGAAGAAATAAAATGATCCCAAGAGGAAAAACTGAGGAACAGTAAGGATTAGCGAGCAGATAAAATGGCAAACATAGGTAAATATAAATAAACATTAGGGACAAACAAAGAACAACTTATAATTTGTAGGATCAAAAAATGTAAAACCAAAATAATGAAATGATAGTATAAAAGGATTACTGAACTGAATGTATTATAAAACTGTGTGTTAGTTAACTATTGCGTAACAAACAGCCTCAAAACCTCAGAGGGATACAGCTTTATTTGTTTCTGGCTCATATGTCTAGTGTCTGCTTGGGGTTGGTTAGAAAGCTTTGCTCAGCTTTGCTGGGCTTGCTTACATGTCTAGGGTCAGCTGATCTAGGGTGGTTTTGGCTGGGAGCCCTGACTCTGTTCCATGTGTCTCTTACTCACCAGCCAGGCAATGGGGATAAATTCTCATGGCAAGGGTAGGTACACAAAAGAGCAATGGAAATGTATAAGCACATTTTCCAAGACTTGAAAAAATATTTTATTGGCTAAAGCAGGTCACATGACTGAGCTCAAGGCTGTAGTAGTAGTAGTGGTGGTGGTGAAAGTCGCTCAGTCGTGTCCAACTCTTTGGGACCCCATGGACTACACAGTCCATGGAATTCTCCAGGCTAGAATACTGGAGTGGGTAGCCTTTCCCTTCTCCAGGGGATCTTCCCAACCCAGGGATTGAACCCAGGTCTCCAGCATTGCAGGCGGATTCTTTACCAACTGAGCCACCAGGGAAGCCGAAAAATACTGGAGTGGGTAGCCTATCCTTTCTCCAGTGGATCTACCCAACCCAGGAATAGAACTGGGATCTTCTGCATTGCAGGTGGATTCTTTACCAACTGAGCTATTCAGTTCAGTTCAGTCTCTCAGTCATGTCCGACTCTTTGCAACCCCATGAACCGCAGCACGCCAAGCCTCCTTGTCCATTACCAACTGCGGGAGTCTACCCAAACCCATGTCCATTGAGTCGGTGATGCCATCCAACTATCTCATCCTCTGTCATCCCCTTCTCCTCCCACCTTCAATCTTTCCCAGCATCAGGGTCTTTTCAAATGAGTCAGCTCTTCGCATCAGGTCGCCAAAGGATTGGAGTTTCAGCTTCAACATCAGTCCTTCCAATGAATATTCAGGACTGATCTCCTTTAGGAGGGATCTCCTAAAGGGACTCCCAAGAGTCTTCTCCAACACCACAGTTCAAAAGCATCAATTCTTCGGTGCTCAGCTTTCTTTATAGTCCAACTCTCACATCCATACACGACTACCTGAAAAACCTTAGCCTTGACTAGACAGACCTTTGTTGACAAAGTAATGTCTCTGCTTTTTAATATGCTGTCTAGGTTGGTCATAACCTTCCTTCCAAGGAGTAAGCGTCTTTTAATTTCATGGCTGTAGTCACCATCTGCAGTGATTTTGGAGCCCCAAAAAATAAAGTCAGCCACTGTTTCCACTGTTTCCCCATCTATTTGCCATGAAGTGATGGGACTGGATGCCATGATCTTGGTTTTCTGAATACTGAGCTATTAGGGGAGCCCAAGGCTATAGTAGGAGGGAGCTATGAAGGATTATGGCAAAGAGTATGCATAAGAAAGCAAAGAATTGGAGTCATTAGTTGTAATCAGTCAGTTAGATTGAACCAATTCCACTGTCTATAAAAGTATTGGTTAGCGTTAGACTTTTAATGAAATACGAATGTTAAAATTTCAAAGCTTACTATTTAAAGAATAAAGACCAAACCAGAGGAAGAAGAAGAATATTTTTAAAAGAAGGAAAGTACTTTCCTGGTGGTCCAGTGGTTAAGAATCCACATGTCAATGCAGGAGACACAGGTTCAGTCCCTGGTATGGGGAAGATTCCACACGCAACTAAATCCTTGCACCGCAACTACTGAAACCTCTGTGCTTGAGAGCCTGTGCTCTGCAACAAGAGAAGCCACTGCAATGGGAAGCCCTGGCTCACTGCAACTCGAGAAAGTCAGCACACAGCATTGAAGACTCAGTGCAGCCAAAAATCGATCAACAAAATTTAAAAAGGAGAAGGGGACTTCCCTAGTGGCCCAGTGTCTCAGTGCAGGGGGTCTGGGTTTGATCCCTGATCAGGTAACTAGATCCCACATGCCCTGAGTGCTGCAATGGAAGACCCTGCATGCCTCAGCTGAGACCTGGCATAGCCAAATAAATCATACTTAAAAAAAAATCTGTTGAAAAAAGAAAAAAAAAAGGAAAGGGGGAGAAATAAAGGAAACAAAGGCAGGAATGAAAGAACATAAGCTGTGAAAAAATACAAAGCACAAAATAAAGCGGAAAAATAAATTTAAATATTTCAGTAATCACAATAAGGCTTTCCTGGTGGCTTAGTGGGTAAAGAATCCACTTGTAATGCAGGAGACACAGGAGATGCTAGTTTGATCCCTGAGTTGGAGGAGGAAATGACAACCCACTCCAGTATTGCCTGGAAAATCCCATGGGCAGAGGAGTCTTGCAGGTAACAGTCCAAAGAATCGGATGTAACTAAGTGACTAAGCACAGCACAGCATATATATTTAAAAACCTAAACCTAATAGTTAAAAGATAGATTGTGACACCAACTTTTGAAAAAATTTAGCTATGCACAAAGACAAATTTTAAAGTCAAAGAATGGTAAGAAATAAAAAAAAAAGAAGAAGAAAAAAGAATGGTAAGAGATTCCATGCTGGGTCTGTTTTAGCTGTATCAACATTGGACAAGGTAGACTTTGAAACAATAGCATTGCTAGAAGTAGTGTGGTGAATTTTATCATCGTTCTCGATAATTTGCTACTCCTGTAAGAGGCCTGTACTTCCCGACCTGTGGACTTCAGGCTTGGTCATGGAAACATGAGTAGAAATGATGAACCATCTATTCTTTCCCTCTGCCACAGGCAGGCTACATCCAAGATGGGGCTGCTCCTTCCACTGGGTCCTTGAATGAAAATAAGCTAGAATGAAGAGTGGGTAGTGCCACAGTGACCCCTGTGTGCATGCTCAGTCATGTCTGACTTTTGCCACCCCATGGATTGCAGCCCACCAGGCTCGTCTGTCTGTGGAATTTTCCAGGCAAGAATACTGGAGTGGATTGCCATTTCCTTCTCCAGGGGATCTTCCTGACCCAGGGGTTGAACCCACATCTCTTGCACCTCCTGCATTGGCAGGCAGATTCTTTACCATGGTACCACCTGGGAAGCCCCACAAATGACCCAAAGGATGTATAACATGAGTGAGAAATTCACCATCATCTTTATAGGCC